GTTCAGTTCGTGGACTAAACCAACACAGAAAAAGGTCAAAACTAAACTAACTTGGTACTGAATGGCGGAACTTTAGTGTCAAGTCAACGGCTCAACCATTAATTTGACCATCAATAGAAATTTGACCATATTATAAACCAACAGTGAAATGTTTCACTTAATGTAATCAGTGTTCTAAAAGTCAGTAGAAGGTAGACAAAAGCCCCGGAAAGAAGGAAAAGAGTTCGATTCCTTGACATCGTAATAAATAAAAATAAAATAAAATTGGCACATTCCATTAGAAAAATTCCGCTGGATTCCTCTACATTTTTGTTGAAATTGCTTTTCCAACATAAAATTGGCCGTTGGAAAACCAGCCGTGGGAATGGACTAAATCCGACGCTAATTTCAATGGAAAAAAATATCGGCCCTTCCATTCCAACAGAATTTGTGAGACGACGAGGCCGACACTATAAACAACGTCAAAGCAACTATCAATGCTATGTTTTTATAACGGGGTATAACAAACCCGCTACAAAAACACTGTTATAAAATGTGTTTTTTCTACTAGTGAATTATATCATATTTTACTTCTTATCGGTGTTGTGGTTATGATATAGGCTACGCTACATCTGCACCTTCTATGTTAGATCTGTCCATGTCTTTTCTATTACACCCTTCTAAGTCAAATCTGTCCAATTTCCAACAACAATGATGCATCGGTATATATAAAAGATAATAACAGAAATAATGCATTAACTAATCATCATAAACTAATTTATATTTATTTAGTTAACTTATAATTTTTTTTGAATATTAGCTAGTTTTTCAGCCATCAACTGTCGGAAACTATTAACTATAAACATTAAACACATTTAGTCAATCGACTAACTTATTACCTATCAGCTATGTATCAAACATACTCTTGAACTTGATAATTGCATAATATTGTGTTGAACATGCATGCAGGAGCAAGAAAAGTATGCAGAGGCCATCGAAACACTGAAGAATGACGTGAGAGCTAAGATAAATGATGCCAAATCTAGCAAGTCGTTGATTACTCTAATCGCTACAATTGAGCGCTTGGGATTGGGATATCATTTTGAGATAGAAATCACTTCTAAACTAGAAAAAATATACGAGGATCTGCACGACAAGCATGAAGACCACGACTTGTTTACTACTGCACTGGGATTTCTTCTCTTGAGGCAACATCAGTATCAAGTTTCTTGTTGTATGTCCTTGTACTTGCACCAAGTTACATTTGAATGATAACACGTGCATATTTTATTTATATTAATTGAATTTTCTTATTCGATCCATGACTGTACCCTACAAATCACAGGTATTTTCGAGAAATTTAAGGATGGAGAAAACAAATTCAAAGATGATGTAGCTAATGATGCAGAGGGATTGTTGAGTTTGTACGAAGCGGCCCATGCTCGTATTCATGGGGAGGACATTTTAGACGAGGCTGTTCCGTTTACAACACATCACTTGAAGCGGATATTGGCAACCGAGAAAAGAGCATCCTCCCTCGAAGAACAAATTACGCGAGCTTTAGAGCATCCTTATTACAGGGGACCTCCAATCATTGAGATACGCGTTTTCATTTCACTCTACGAAAAGAATGATTCGAAGGACCCATTGCTTCTCAAGCTCGCCAAACTCAATTTTAATTTCTTGCAGAATATGTACAAGAAAGAGATGTCCGAACTCACCAAGTAACTACTTCAACATTTTCTTTCTTTCTTTCTGTTTTGTTTTTTTGTGTTTGCGTAAGTTAATGAAACATAAAGTGTACTTGCAAAATTTTGTTGTATTTGAAAGGTGGTGGATCCAATTTGACATTAAGTCGAAATTGACACACACACGAGACAGATTGATCGAATGCTACCTCTGGGGAACATCGTTCCATTACGAACCTCAGTATGCTTTTATTCGAACAATTATTGCTAAAAACATTCAATTGGCTTCGATAATGGACGATACATATGACAATTACGCTACAATTGAAGAAGCTCAACTCTTCACCGACATTTTGGAAAGGTAGCTAGAATCTCATTTTTTGGAAAATAAGATGGATTTTCAGATGGATTTTATTAGAAGTAAGTATACTTTTTTATTTTTTTTATTTCAGATGGGATATAAATGAAATCGGTCTACTCCCAAACTACATGAAGATTGCTTATGAGTTCATCATGGGTATGTATGAAGACTTTAAGCGCGAGGCAGAAGAACGAGATAAATCCTTTGCAGTTCCCGCTTACGTAGAAGCGGTAAAGACCGCTATCTATAATCTATTTGGCGTTGAGTTCGAAGTTCCCGACTAATTAATTTTTAAAAAGTTGACATCATATATAATGTTTAAACCTTTCACAACAGGTGAAACAGCTTGCTCGAGCTTACAATCAAGAACTGATATGGATAATGGAACGTCAAATGCCCTCTTTTGAAGACTATATGAAAAACACGTTGATCACAGGTTGCATGTATGTGATGTTTTCGGCTGTAATCCCTGGCCTGAAATCAGCTACCAAGGATATTGTTGATTGGTTGGGGAGTGAGCCTAAACTCTACATATCCACAGCTAAGATGGGTAGACACCTCGATAACTTGGGCAGCGAAGATGTAAGTATATCGTACATTCAACAATTTAAGTTAAAGAATTTATATATGAGCTCTTCATTTTTCATATAGTGTGGTGAGACTTAACTAAGTTTTTTTTTTTTTTTTGAAATCTTGAAGCGCGAGAATAGAGAAGGCAAGCTGCTCACGGCGGTTGATTACTACATAAAGGAGCACGGTGTCTCGAGAAAAGAGGCTTTGTCGAAATTCAAAGAGTTTGTGGAGAATGAGTGGAAGAGCATGAACACAGAGTGGGTCGCCGAAAGCTCGGTGCCAAAGGAAATGGCTGTGCAGTTCATTAACTATGGACGAATATCCGAGGTGACCTACAAGAACTCGATAGACCATTTTACGTTCCCTGAGAAGTTCTTCACTCCGATCATTACCGCCATATTTGTTGACCCCATTGCCATTTGATTTTGAATCTATCTTTTGTTGTCTGCATATCTTGAATTCTGGTTACTTGTTTGGGTTTCTATTGTTGTTAGGTTGTTGTTTGCATTGTTAGCCATTGTATCCATCTATGCTTTGAAAAGAACTTCACAAGCGTTGTGTTTTGTGGGGACAAAAACCCATATATTTTTTTT